AACCCAGTGCTGGAAGCACCAGGGGCCTTTGCACTCGTGGGACTCATTTGGCAAGGATGCCTTCAGAGTGGCTGCTGCACACAGAAGACAAGGCTGGAGGTACCAAACCAATGACAATTTCTCTTCCTGGAAAATACTGTCTGTAGCTCCCTTTTACATACTTCTTTCGAGTAACAAACACTCAAGAACTCTATTCCATTTTCCCCTTTGACCTTGACTCTAATGGATGTGTGTCCTGAACTCAATGAATATGTTCTGAATGAACCAGGAGATGCTGCAAACATCCCCTTGGGCCTCTCTGCCCAGCTCTGCCTCCTTTGCCAGGTCCTCTCCTGCATCCCAGAGCCTTCAAGGGCCACAGGAGGGGCTGAGCTCTGGCTCAGGCAGAAAGAGTATTGGCCTATACAGTGAAGGATGCTAACTCTGCGCTCATCACAGCAAGGGCTGAAAGGAACCCAAGAATTCCAATTAGGCTTAAACTAATGAGCTGGAAACTTTGCGGAATCCACTGTGGCCAGTGAGGGGACAGTATGATCATCTTTTAATTAGCATTGGAGAAACCTGTTGCCCAGCTGGTAGCACAAGGGAGCAACGTTTCTGAGAATATCGGAAGGAGGATTCCCTTGGGGTAAAGGGATAAAAGCTGCTGAACAAACCTAGACTCTTTCATCTTTAAGGGGGGGGGAGGGAAGACCCTAAATGGGGAAAGGTGGGCTTGAATGGAGTCTGGGGCACCCTTTCTCCCAGCCGCCCTCCTCCCATGCGGTCTAACGCTAGGTAAAAATGACTTGAGGGAAATCCACTGCCCGTTGGAGCCGGCGCCGGCCCAGAGGCCAAGTGCCCCCTGCCCATCTCTGTCTTTCTTGGGCAGCCTCTGTGCCTTCAGGAGGAAAAGGCAGAAAAACCACCTGCTGCTGTCAAGGCCACAGACCACCCGCCAGCCTCCGGATGGCCCTGCCTTCTAGCCAGGCACAGGGCACTGCAGCACCCAAGAGGGGGAATGGACGCGCGAACTCAGGGTGGGCAGGGCACGAACCAGGGCGTGTGCCTTGAAGAACAAACTCCTCATTCCCGAGGCCCAGGATTCTGAGGCGTCAAGCCTGTGGAATCGAGTCCAGAGCTGGTCACTCCTCCCCTCCCCAATGGGGTCTCCTTTGGGAAAAATGGCCTGCATGGGGGCCCAGCCATCCTTGTCGGGACCTCCATCCAGGGAGATCTGCTGGGGTCGCAGGATACTGGCGAGAGTTTCAGGATCCTGCGCCTGGGCTTAGGGCGCCCTGCCTTGCGCGCTGGGCGGGGGTGGGGTG